TCAGCTCTTGGGAAGGGGAGATGAGAGCAGGACGAGGGGAAATGGCTGGAATTGAGGGAGGGCAGATTTCAACTGGGTGTCAGGGGGAAGTTGTTTGCTGTGAGAGCGGTGAGGTGCTGGAACAGCTGCCCAGAGAGGCTGTGGATGCCCCGTCCATCCCTGGAGGTGTTGGAGGCCAGGTTGGATGGGGCCCTGGGCAGCCTGGGCTGCTGTGAAATGTGGAGGTTGGTGGCCCTGCGTGCAGAAGGGAGCTGGAGCTTCGTCATCCTTGAGGTCCCTTCCAACCCAAAGCATTCTGTGATTCTATGAAGCACAGGGGCTGGAAGGGACCTCTGGAGCTGCCCCTGCTAAAACAGGTTCCCTGCGGCAGGGTCACGTGCAGGTGGGTTTGGGTGTCTGCAGAGGAGACCCCCACACCTCCCTGGGCTTTGCTCTGTGGCACCGCCGCCCTCACAGCTCAGTTCTTCCTCATGTCCACTGCTCAGATCTCCCTCAGCCTTCTCTCCTCCAGGCTGAGGAAACAGGAGGGGGCTCTCAGCCTGTCCCCACCAGGCGGTTCTCCAGACCCCCACCAGCTCTGCACCCTTTGTGGGGCTCTCCCAGCAGCTCCCAGTCTGAACTGGGCAGCCCTGCGGCGCTCTGGTTTTGCCCTTCCCAGAGCAGAGCAGAGGAGAGGAGCACCTCCCAGCCCTGCTGGGCACGCACTGAGCAATGCCCCTCAGGAAACTGCTGGCCTTTTGGGCCACCAGGACACACTGCTGGCTTGTGGTCAACTGTTGGTGAACCAGAACGTCGTTGTCCTTCTGGGTCACCAGGGCACACGGCTGGCTTGAAGTCAAACGCTGGTCAGCTGTTGGCCATCCAGGACACCATTGGTCACCGGGCCACTCTGCTGGCTTGCTGGCTTGGTCCGTATTTGGTCAATATTTGGTCAACTGTTGGTCAACCAGGACAATATTGGTCATCTGTGTCACTGGGGCACATTGATGGTTTGTGATCAACTGCTTGTCTGAATGAAAACATTGTTGGCCTTCGTGGCCACCATGGCAGGTGGCTGGCTCGTAGCCAACCTGTAGTCAAATATGGGCCACCAGGGCACATTACTGGCTCATGGTGTCAACTGCTGGTCAAGCATTGGTCAGCTGTTGGTGAACCAGGACACCATTGGCCTTCTGGGCCACCAGGGGACATTGCTGGCTTGTGGTCAGCTGCTGGTCAGCCATTGGCCAACCAGGACACCATTGGCCATCTTGAGCACTGGGACACGTTGATGGCTCGTGGTCAGCCTGTACTCAAATATTGGCCAGCCGTTGGCCATCCAGGACACTGCTGGCCTTCTGGGCCACAAGGGCATGCCGCTGGCTTGTAGGCAACCTGTAGTCAAATATTGGCCAACTGTTAGAACCATTGGCCAACCAGTCCACCGTTGGCCTCCTGTGCCACCAGAGCACGCCGCTGGCTCCTGGTCGCCCTGTTGGCCAACTGTAGTCAACCATTGGCCAACCAGTCCACCGTTGGCCTCCTGTGCCACCAGAGCACGCCGCTGGCTCCTGGTCGCCCTGTTGGCCAACTGTAGTCAACCATTGGCCAACCAGTCCACTCTTGGCCTCCTGTGCCACCAGGGCACGCCACTGGCTCATGGTCACCCTGTTGGCCAACTGTAGTCAACCATTGGCCAATTGCAGTCAACCATTGGCCAACCAGTCCCCCACTGTGCCACCAGGGCACGCCACTGGCTTGTGGTCGCCCTGTTGGCCAACTGTAGTCAACCATTGGCCAACCAGTCCACCGTTGGCCTCCTGTGCCACCAGAGCACGCCACTGGTTCATGGTCGCCCTGTTGGCCAACTGTAGTCAACCATTGGCCAACCGTTAGTCAACCATTGGCCAACCAGTCCACTGTTGGCCTCCTGTGCCAGCCGTTAGTCAACCATTGGCCAACCAGTCCCCCATTGTGCCACCAGGGCACACCACTGGCTCATGGTCGCCCTGTTGGCCAACTGTAGTCAACCATTGGCTAACCAGTCCACCGTTGGCCTCCTGTGCCACCAGGGCATGCTGCTGGCTCCTGGTCACCCTGTTGGCCAACTGTAGTCAACCATTGGCTAACTGTTAGTCAACTGTTTGCCAAAGAGTCCACTGTTGGCCTCCTGTGCCACCAGGGCACACTGGTGGCTCGTGATTGCCCTGTTGGCCAGCAGGAGCACTGGGGCACGTTGATGGCTCGTGGTCAACCTGTAGTCAAATATTGTCTAACTGTTGGCCAACCAGGACACTGTTGGCTTTCTGGGCCACTGGGGCACGCTAATGGCTCGTGGGCAACTTGTACTTAAATATTGGCCAATTGTTGGCCAACCAGGACACCATTGGCCATCTTGACCACTCGGGCACATTGCTGGCTCATGGGCAAACTGTAGTCAACCATTGGCCAACCATTAGTCAACTGTTGGCCAGCCAGTCCCCCATTGTGCCACCAGGGCACGCCGCTGGCTCATGGTCGCCCTGTTGGCCAACTGTAGTCAACCATTGGCCAACCAGTCCACTGTTGGCCTCCTGTGCCACCAGGGCACGCGGCTGGCTCATGGTCGTCCTGTTGGCCAACTGTAGTCAACCGTTGGCCAACCATTAGTCAACCACTGGCCAACCAGTCCACCGTTGGCCTCCTGTGCCACCAGGGCATGCTGCTGGCTCGTGGTCGCCCTGTTGGCCAACTGCAGTCAAGCATTGGTCAACCAGTCCACTCTTGGCCTCCTGTGCTACCAGGGCACACTGCTGGCTCATGGTCGCCCTGTTGGCCAACTGTAATCAACCGTTGGTCAACCACTGGCCAACCAGTCCACCGTTGGCCTCCTGTGCAACCAGGGCACGCCGCTGGCTCGTGGTTGCCCTGTTGGCCAACTGTAGTCAACCGTTGGTCAACCAGTCCACTCTTGGCCTCCTGTGCCACCAGGGCATGCTGCTGGCTCGTGGTCGCCCTGTTGGCCAACTGCAGTCAACTGTTGGCCAACCAGTCCACCGTTGGCCTCCTGTGCCACCAGGGCATGCCACTGGCTCGTGGTTGCCCTGTTGGCCAACTGTAGTCAACCGTTGGTCAACCAGTCCACTCTTGGCCTCCTGTGCCACCAGGGCATGCTGCTGGCTCATGGTCGCCCTGTTGGCCAACTGTAATCAACCGTTGGTCAACCGTTGGCCAACCAGTCCACTGTTGGCCTCCTGTGCCACCAGGGCATGCTGCTGGCTCGTGGTTGCCCTGTTGGCCAACTATAGTCAACCGTTGGCCAACCAGTCCACCGTTGGCCTCCTGTGCCACCAGGGCACGCTGCTGGCTCGTGGTCGCCCTGTTGGCCAACTGTAGTCAACCGTTGGCCAACCGTTAGTCAACCACTGGCCAACCAGTCCACCGTTGGCCTCCTGTGCCACCAGGGCACGCGGCTGGCTCGTGGTCGCCCTGTTGGCCAACTGTAGTCAACCGTTGGTCAACCTTTGGCCAACCAGTCCACCGTTGGCCTCCTGTGCCACCAGGGCACGCCTCTGACTCGTCGTCGCCCTGTTGGCCATCTGTAGTCAACCATTGGCCAACCAGTCCACGGTTGGCTTCCTGTGCCACCAGGGCACGCCACTGGCTCATGGTCACCCTGTTGGCCAACTGTAGTCAACCACTGTCCAACTGTTAGTCAACCATTGGCCAACCATTCCCCCGTTGTGCCACCAGGGCACGCAGCTGGCTCGTGGTCGCCCTGTTGGCCAACTGTAGTCAACCATTGGCCAACCGTTAGTCCACAGTTGGCCTCCTGTGCCACCAGGGCACACTGCTGGCTCATGGTCGCCCTGTTGGCCAACTGTAGTCAACCATTGGTCAACCGTTGGTCAACCAGTCCACTGTTGGCCTCCTGTGCCACCAGGGCACGCTGCTGGCTCGTGGTCGCCCTGTTGGCCAACTGCAGTCAACCATTGGCCAACTGTTAGTCAACTGTTGGCCAACCAGTCCACCGTTGTGCCACCAGGGCACGCTGTTGGCTCATGGTCACCCTGTTGGCCAACCGTAGTCAACCATTGGCCAACCATTAGTCAACCGTTGGCCAACCAGTCCACTCTTGGCCTCCTGTGCCACCAGGGCATGTGGCTGGCTCATGGTCGCCCTGTTGGCCAACTGTAAT